AATAAATTATTTCGTTATTAAACTTAAATTAAATTATAATAAAAAAATAAATTAGAGAAATTACATAAAAAACGAGAACTTTTAAATAGTTGATTTGATATTAACATTGATATATTTTTTTTCAAAATTTTATGATATCTTCAAATTTATATTTTATTCAAAAATAAAATAACTATTGCTTTCTTAAAAACACATAAAATCGTATTATAACATCGACATAAACAAATAATAAAATAAAACATTAAAATCGAGATATGTCTCGCTGCATTGCGCGAGTACCCTTCTAGTCTGTACTATAAAACATTTGACAAAAACTCTTAAAAACAATTTTTTATGCACGAAGTATTGTTTATTGATACATGTTACTTAAAATTTAAGATTACAAGTAAATTGTGATAATTAGGATAATCTTGGTTATTATCTTTATAAAAAATTATATAAACATAATCAAGATAATAACTAAGTATTATGTTAGTTATCAATGATTATTCTAATTATATTTTAGATTTTTTATATTTAAAATGAGATGTTTATTCAATATTTGATTATGTTTATCTGCAGTTAGTTAGACRAATTCTTGTATGGAGCTTTAATAAGTTGTACTTATGCACAATTTACTTGTAATCTTAAATTTTAAGTAATATGTATCAATAAACAGTATTTCGTGCATAAAAAATCGTTTTTAAAAGTTTTTGTCAAATGCTTTATAATGTAGTATAAATTTTTTATAAAGATAATAACATAATAACTAAGTATTCTGTTAGTTATCAATGATTGTTCTAATTATATTTTAGATTTTTTATATCTAAAATGAGATGTTTATCCAATATTTGATTATGTTTATCTGCAGTCAGTTAGACGAATTCAAGTATGAAGCTTTAATAAGCTGTACTTATGCACAATTTACTTGTAATCTTAAATTTTAATTAATATGCATCAATAAACAGTATTTCGTGTATAAAAAATCGTTTTTAAAAGTTTTTGTCAAATGCTTTATAATATAGTATAGATTATATTATTAAACCAAATATAAATTATTTCGTTATTGTACCTACATTAAATTATAATAAAAAATTACACAAAAATGAGAAATTTTAAATAGTTAATTTAATACTAATATCGATATATTTTTGCTATGCATAAAATATTATATATTGATGCATATTACTTAAAATTCAAGATTACATATAAATTATGCATAAGTACAATTTATTAAAGCTGCATGTTTAAATTCGTGTAACTAACAGCAGATAAATATAATCAAATACATGATAAACATCTCATTTTAAATATAAAAAATCTAAAATATAATTAGGATAATCAGTAAGTTCTAACAGAATACTTAATTGTTATTTTTATTAAAAATTATATTATCAAACCGAAATTAAGTTATTTTGTCACGTTAAATTAGTTTATAATACAAAATTTGAATTAAAAAAATACATAAAACAAGAACTTTTAAATAGTTAATTTGATACTAATATCGATATATTTTTTTCAAATTTTTATGATATTTTATTTAAAAATAAAAACATTATCGTTTTCTCAAAAACAAATAAAACCGTATTATATCGACATAGATAAAGAATAAAATGAAACATTGAAATCGAGATACGTCTCGATGCATTGCACGAGTATCCTTCTAGTTATATTACAAAGCATTTGATAAAAAAAACTCTTAAAAATCATTTTTTATATATGAAGTACTGTTTATTGATGTATATTACTTAAAATTCAAGATTACAAGTAAATATTGCATAAATACAACTTATTAAAGCTCCATACTTGAATTTGTGTCACTAACTACAGATAAACATAATCAAATACTTGATAAACATTTTATTTTAAATATAAAAAATCTAAAATATAATTAGGATAATCATTGTCTTTTAACTATTAACTAAATTATTATTTTTATAAAAAATTATATTATTAAATCAAAAATAAATTACTTCCTTATTAAACCTAAATTAAATTATAATAAAAAAAAGTTGAATTAAAGAAATTACATAACAAAACAAAAAGTTTTAAATAGTTAATTTGATATTAATATCGATATGTTTTTTTAAAATTTTCAAGATATCTTCAAATTTATATTTTATTCAAAATATAAAAGCATCATCGTTTTTTCTCAAAACCATATAAAACCGTATTATAACATCGACAGAGGGACATAATA